TGGGTATATGTACGTATGTATATATGAATGCGTATGAATATATTTATATATATATGTGTGTGTGTGTGTGTGTGTGTGTGTGTGTGTGTGTGTGTGTGTGTGTGTGTGTTGTGTGTTGTGTGTGTGTGTTTGTGTGTGTGTGTGTGTGTGTGTGTTTGCGTTTGTGTTTGTTATATAATCCATACATACATACATATAGGTACAGATATGCAACATTTACAAGTGTATATGTTGATGTATATAAATAATTATTTCCTATTTGACACATGTTCTTGGCGATAGATATAGACTTCTGAAAGATTGTCATATATTGCCTGCAAATTCTTGTTTTTTGATTATGCGAGTTGATATATGGGCATAATAAAACAATCATGCTTGGCATGCACATTTTGGCCTTCTCACAGCCTTGTTGTTTTCTGATGTGAACATTTAAGTTCTGATGTGAACTTCTATTCTGCGAGCGACAATTCGCGAGGAGTGTAAACGTTTGTTATTGTTTTTACTGCCAATTTAGATTATCATATGACTAAAATTACGATTAAGGCAATGTATTCCGAATTATGATGCGAGTTCAACTCACACAATCATTGGTTATTTATTGAATATGAAACTTTACCTCTTTGAATCATAGAAATACTGACCGGTCTTATACTCGATTCGATTTGCTCCGGTTTCTGAAGCGCGATATTGCGTTGTGGCAGCGTAGTTTCCATCTAATATGAATACAAATAAAATAGTCGAGTATTTAAACCTTTACCTTGGCGTAGTGGAGTAGAAAAGACTTGTTCGCTTGCCTCACCCGTGGGCTATTATGCTTACGGACGAATTTCGCCTTCATGCGCTTCTTCAGCGCCGCTTTCTCTTCGGGATCCATCACTGCAAAATCTACTACTCTGTCGTTCATGACTACATCATCCTTCCAAGCCAAAGTAGGTGTAGTGCGCGGAACAATGCCAGCCGTAGGTTCCTGAAGTAGACTCGATCTTTCGACCAACGTTATAGCATTGTGGGTCTTTCGAGTACGTTCCACCAATTGTGCTTCAATTGAGCTAGAAATAGAAGTTTGGGACGCTCGCGAAACTATAAACGCCGACTTCACCTTTAAAGGTGTTAGAGTAAGCGACATTGGCCTGTACAGTGGAGCCCTGTCTACCATACTATCATTCTGGTCACATGTCGCATTTTTCTCATTGTACTTCATATTAGGCCCCGCGCGCTCTGAGAAATCATTGACAGAGCTGTCAGACTGGTATGCGTCCGAATCTTGACAGTGTTCGACAAGGACGGCAACGGTACGCTTATGTGTACACCCCTGTGGTGACTCGTTTAGACCTTCGCTAGATTTCATTTTTCTAACTTCGACTTCACTGAAGTCGCTGGTGAAGTTGGCAGAGATGTTCAGTAGGCTCGCGGACTTTGACCGTTGGCTGAATGCTGGATGTGTGTTCTTTGTGCATTTATTTTTCGCACCAGAGACTTTACCAACACCGGCTGAGAGACCCGTAATACTCTCGTGTGCTAGGCTTCCAGGTTTCGCATACACTACATTCGTTATTCTGTCTAACAGCCCATCAAAGGATTTGTTGTTGGCTCGAGCCATAGTGCAATTGTCAACGGAAAATGCCCTCATCTTGAAGATTCTACGTTGCAACGCTAATCGCTTGGGTGCATAAGGTATATGATAGTTTGAAAGTGTGCTGGCCCGGAAGTATCTGTAAAGTGAAAGACAGATAAGTCGTCGGTGTACTTGTCGTATAAAGCTAGGTATTGTTGCGACTGCGCTTCAGGAGGATGAAAACTTGATTTCATCTGCATTTGTCTTTGAACTGTGTATTGTGCGAGGTTATGATTTCGAAAGTGCACGCAAGCGTATTATGTAGAATATCAAGCGGGATTGCGATCGCTGAGAAGTTGAGATCCATAACGATACCAATTATATACAACGTCAACATTGCGGATTCCCATAGAAACCGTCGGGCCACGTTCACTCTTGATTCGTGAGACGTGAGTCCCTTAGACTTTTACTCGTGTGTGTGTAAAAAAATTAAGACTGTTCTTATCGGTCGGATCACGATTCACGAATTGATATTCACATTGCATATTTGTATTTTTTTTAAAGTTTTCTATATATAGAACTCGGTAAAAAAAAGGCTCGACCATATGGCGTAAAATTCAAGCACTTCTCATATATTTATTCTAAAAAAACAGTTCGGGTTTTGATTGGTGGCGTGCAAAATTATATTCAATGAGAAATTCAGAAGTTTTATATTAGGGGTGTATCATTGTTTATGATTGTTAACATCGGTTCATCACATCACACATGTCTCTTTAGTGGCTAATAGTGACTTTAAAGTTTAAAATCTCCTATGTCCATTAAAAGTAGAAGTACTCCAACAGTCCGGCTATGTGAGATTGGAGATTAGTAAAGCATTTACGATTTTTATTTTATATGTAAAAATGCATCACATGTGACGCAGTGATTGTTTCCTAACAACTAGAGAGACCCTCTTTACTACGTCCCAAATACAAGTTAAGGGCTACATGGTACGTACTCCATAAATACGTAAATACTGCAGTAGAATTATAACAGCGATTTCAGTTCGCTCGGATTAATATGTGACTGACCGTAGATTTATTCACTCCGAAATTCTGTGCAGCTGTCTTCCAAAAGTTCCAGAGTCCAGACTGCGGTCTGTGACTTGCCTTGCGAGCCAGGGATGACTTCAGTTGTATTTACAAATAGTATTTTAACAAATAGGCGCAAATTTAGTTGATATCTATATTTTATACTGATTATCCGATAATCTGCCTACGTGACGTAAAGGATGTGGCTGCATCATCACTTCTTGCGCCATACTGCTATTTAAAACCTTATTATGTATTGATTTGTTTTTTGTTAGAAAAGTGTATGACGGCATCGTCCACCGTCCTCTGACACACCTCGCTCTCTCCATCTCCAGCCTCGTACATCTATTATGTCGAGTAATTCACCCTTTAAAGTCTATACTGATACCAAACATGGCCTACTTCCGTTTTTACACACATTACTTATTGTTCAACATCAAAATGTTTAAAAACAAACTACATCCTGAATGCGACGTTTGCATATGCGATATAATATTGATCATACATGAGTCATGACTGAAATTCGATCCAGCAATTGAGTCCATACATAGTGTTCTTTGCATATTAACTTCCATTTTTAAAATAAGAAATGGTATCCGAGTCTGGGTATAGCAAAGTATATGCAGTGTGCAGCGCACAGGTGTCCTCTATAGCGAAGAAGACGGTTTCTCGCTTACTCATTGGTCCTCACTGACGCAAAGATTTTATGCAGCAGCAGATCTATGCACAATGCATGACCTATCGACCAATGTATAGTATATGTCAACACATAAATAAACAATGTACCCTAAATCGCGGAAGGTTGCTCCTATTGAATTGAAGCTTCACACAGTCAGACTCCCAATGTATAGAGCTAATTGTCTTTATTCTTTCCCGGACCTCTGCCATCAACTATCCGGATTCGTTAACGCTTTGAGTAGTCTTACTGACAGCGCACATCCCACGACCAACAGCAACGTAACAGTGCCGAAGGTTATGCTGGCACTGATCCACCCCCAACTGACCCCCTCCTCTATGTACTCGCCCTTGAACTCATTCACTAGCTGGGAATACGTTGCCAACAGTTGCTGGGCTTCATATGCGGCTTTCGTTTGCTCTGCTAGGATGGCTGAGAACTCCGCCGCTGTGTACCGGACAAACAGTGTGCAAGGGTACGGATCAGGCTGTGAATATGTTGTAGGGAAACCCTAACCCCTGAAAACCCTAAAAGCATATACTACCGAGATTGCTACGAACAGGCGCACATGCTAGCCACAGTCTGGAAATGGCAACCTCCAAAATGAAGCGAACTAATGGACACATCAATAGGACCGAAGTTGACTATTAAAAATGTGAGAAGGACTACGAACACATCTGTGTACGAACCAGCACCCAGCACCACGCACAATTGCATCACTGAATATGTCAACCAACATACGCCTTCAACAGGCACGTTCAACTAATACCAACAGACATACGCCTTCAACAGGCACGTTCAACTAATGTCAACAGACATACGCCTTCAACAGGCACGTTCAACTAATGTCAACGGACAAACGCCTTCAACAGGCACGTTCAACCAATGTCAACGGACATACGCCTTCAACAGGCACGTTCAACTAAGGTCAACGGACATATGCCTTCAACAGGCACGTTCAATTATAACCCTACGCCTGTGTGGTTTGTATCATTCTGCCGAGCTGACAACCACCATCGTGGATTGCCTTGGGTTTGCTTCAGCAGAATACAATGCAATATATGTCATCACAGCCACACCGCCATACCTCCCATAGTCGCAAAGCGCTCGTATGCTCTGTGGACCTCCGATTTGTTAGAGTCTTTACTGAGCGCTTCTGTGATGTGCCACAGAACGTCCCACTCCTCTCCCAGTCGGCGATTGGCGTGTAAACTGTGCACAGACAAAGTTCAGTGTTACTTAGCCTGAAACCTAACCCTAAACCATAAACCTAACTTCTAAAGTTTACTCATACGTAGTCAGCTAGTTATATATAAAGCAGCTGTGTATGCATGCGTTTGAGCGAATTTCTCGATTGTACGGACACCGATACTCCACGTTTCTAAACCATTGTATGTGCTGTCATACAGACTGGTATATATGGAGTAGCTATATGTGTTTAATCCCACAGATACAGTGAAAGGTAGAACGCAATAGATGTGCTCATGTGCATTCATGCACATTGGTGTCTAATGACGCCAGATGTGCTCAAGTACATTTCAACCCTCCCCGAAAATCACTTGTAGCTACATGCGTGTATATTTATATTCATATTTACGTTTATATGTATATGTATATTGATATGTATACGCATATATATACTTATTTAATACAGGCGAAAAGAGACCAATGTGTCCACAGGCGAGCCCCCTTAGGCTATATTCACTCTGTTCCGCTAAAGGCTAAACCCTCCTCAGGCTGTGTTAACTCTGATAAGCGGTCCCGTTTAGACGTATTGGGTGGTGACTTCGGCCACAACGTTTGTGATTTGTGTGATTAGCCCAGCCATACGGCTGTGACAGACTTAATATGGCATATCTAATACCGCCACAACTCAGCTGGCACACACCAATCACCAGGCCTGGAACACAGGTTTTAAGGTTTTAGATTTGAGGGCTACTAAATCCTAGACCCTAAACCCTAAAATAAGAACACACAGCCGGCACAGTGTTGAATTGAGGAGGCTATGGCACACCCCAACCACCCAGCCTCGACCACGAACATTAAGGTTTAGGTTACAGGGTTACCAAGCCCTAAACCCTAAACCCTAACTCAAAAATAAAAGATACTACCACCACCACACTCAGACACTTACCAACCACCCAGCCTCGACCACAGATAGATGGCCGTCAGTCCAAGTGGAATGGAAATGACCATTGGGAGCATGACCTGCAGCGGTAGATCATGCACACGCAATGCCGTCAGCTCTAAGTCGTCCAGCACCTCACCTGTAGTGTGCGTGGAGCGTAGTAGAGATCATATGACATGGAGCGTAGCGAGATCATATGACTTGTACGATATATACACCCTTGAGGTAGATAACCTAATAATATGCAAACAGCCGATAAAGAGAATTTTTGTTATATACGTTAAACGATCAGCTCTAAGTCGTCCAGCACCTCACCTGTAGTGTACATGGAGCGTAGTAGAGATCATATGACATGGAGCGTAGTAGAGATCATATAACATGGGAGCGTAGTAGAAATCATATGACATGGTGCGTAGTATAGATCATCTGACTTGTACGATATATACACCCATGAGGTAGATAATGTACATGATATACATACAACCGATAAAGATAATTACGTTAACCGATCAGCTCAAAGTCGTTCAACATCTCGTCTGAAACATCGAGCGTACCATTTTTCAACCTGAACCAGATATGGTATGGGACTATTTGTATACTTTATGGAATGGTCTTAGGGTCTTAGGGTTTTAGGGTTTTAGAGGATGTATGTACTTGTATGGCACTGGGCAGACTGTCAATGGGTGCCACAGATAGACACCAAACCCTAAACGCTAAATGGTACTATGTAGTTATATAACTATGGAGTTCTATACCACCGCAATAGTTGTGGAGCATCCCACTCGATCACTTCGCTCAACTGTGCATACGTATCCAAGCATATCTATACCTACGTATGTATGTACATATACAGACTCAAGCATACATATACCTACGTATGTATGTGCATATACAGACTCAAGCATACATATACCGACGTATGTATGTGCATATACAGACTCAAGCATACATATACCTACGTATGTATGTACATATACAGACTCAAGCATACATATACCGACGTATGTATGTGCATATACTGACTCAAGCATACATATACCGACGTATGTATGTGCATATACAGACTCAAGCATACATATACCTACGTATGTATGTACATAAACAGACTCAAGCATACATATACCTACGTATGTATGTACATATACAGACTCAAGCATACATATACAACACAGCACCTTGTAACGTAAACATATATACATCTATCTGCGAGCATATGTACATATACACACTCAGGCATACATAACCAAACATCGTGTGTATATATATACTGATATGTATATATATCCAGATGTCACGCAGAATATAGCATATAAAACCCAGTTAACTGAGACGAAAAACCTACTGTCTTCAAGGCCCAGTGGATGTTCGCTGTTAAAATTGGCCGCTTGCACCACCCGCATTTCCGCATCGGCTCCGAATATATCTTGATACTGTGAGACGGGCCAGGAGAGAATGAATGTAGATGAACACGTAGGTATGGATAGACGAGGACTGATCTCAATAAATGTGTAAGTAGGAGAAGGCAAGGGAGAGCATGAAGGCCAAGAAGTTCGGGACATCGAAACCCTGTAGCTTTACAGCCAATGCAACCCGACTCTGCCTAGGGTCACCTGCATACGAGCGACCGTATTCAGCTTGCCCTATGAACCCTAAACCCTGAATAGGTAAAACTCTAAACCCTAAAACCCCTTAAATCTGAATCGGTGAAACCCTAAACCCTTCAAAACCACTAAGTCGTAAAAGCCCCATACAACCCATACCCACGAAGTCTTGTGACTGTAACAGGCACGTCGACTACTGACTATCAGTTTCTTGTGAGAGTTGCAGATAGTGAGGGAAAGGGTACGCTTGCAACCCTCTTCTCCACAGAATAGTACTGCGGGATGGCAGACGATATACATCGGAGTTCATGTTCTAGATATACTTGACTTGTTGGTAGTCATCCCACGCAATAGGCCTACGGTCCAAACAATCAAAATATCGGAAAGGCTTCTGATCTCACTCAATAAGATGAAATAGCTCAATGAAGATGACGCATATCACACACTTCAAAGAGTGTCTCTGCCAATCTCACCGCTGGAGAAAGGCTCCGCACCACCGACAAGCAGGCCACGATACATACCTTTAATCTTTTAAGTACCCCCTAATATATTAAACAGGGCCACAACACAACACAGCACATACCAAACATCATACAACACATATAAAAGACACATACCTTTAATCTTTATGTACCCCCTAATATATTAAATAGGACCACAACACAACACAGCACATACCAAACACCACACAACACATATAAAAGACACATACCTTTAATCTTTATGTACCCCCTAATATATTAAATAGGACCACAACACAACACAACACATACCAAACATCATACAACACATATAAAAGACACATACCTTTAATCTTTTAAGTACCCCCAAATATATTAAATAGGACCACAACACAATACAGCACATACCAAACATCATACAACACATATAAACGATACATACCTTAAATCTTTAAGTACCCCCTTGTATGTTAAATAGGACCACAACACAACACAGCACATACCCAACACCATACAACACATATAAAAGACACATACCTTTAATCTTTTAAGTACCCCCTGATGTATTAAATAGGACCACAACACAACACAACACGTACCAAACACCGTACAACACATATAAAGATACATACCTTTAATCTTTTAAGTACCCCCCTAATATATTAAATAGGACCACAACACATACCAACCACTATACAACACACAGGCAAACCACAACCCAGCCCGTGCCATCCGCACCCACCAGCGACCATACCTCGGATTCCTTCATATCGTCGAATAGGTGCACTAGGTTCGGTTCCAGCCGCAGGCGTGTGCGCTCGCTCTTGCTGCGATGGGGCTGTGGCATGATACGCGAGGCAAAGGTGGAGCTGTGTCGTCGCAGCATTTCGGGGCGTGTGGTCGGAAAGCGTTTCTCGCCCAGCTCTGTGGGGGGTAGGTCTGAGTCGGAAGCATGGGCCTAAAGGGGACAGGACGGTGAAAGGGGGGAGGGGGGGGTAAGTCTGGCAGTGAGTACGGAATATTGGGGGTAGATAAGCTGCATCTGACTTATTGGGGGTAGATAAGTTGCATCTGACGTATTGGGGGTAGATAAGTTGCATCTGAAGTGTTGGGGGTATACAAGGGCACATAAGTTGCAACTGGACTATGAGGGATATGCAAGTTGCATCTGAAGTATTGGGGGTAGATTACTTGCATCTGAAGTAAAGGGGGTATATATAAGTTTGCAACTGAAGGGTTTTTGGTTGATCGTTGAGTAACAACGTGGCGGCTGAAATTGCACAGGGTCATATAAAACCATATATGGCATAAGTATACTAAGCCGGCATCGAGAGAACATATGAGATGCTGGTACTCTACCTATGACATGTGCATGCTACACAGGAGAGCATTTGGCAAACAGGTTAGAAAGCTAAAAAGCGCATTTGACGTGATCTCAAACGTACCGTTTCTTCGCGGTCTGTTTGAATAGCCGTGGCAATTGATATGCGTGATGCACCGGCGACGGAATATGGGACCGGAGATATGAAAAGCATAGAATTTAAGAAGAAGAATCTTATCAGTTTATACATAAAATTATAAAAATAAAATAAGATCAGGTCAGTTCAATGACGAACAATGCGCAAAAAAACCCAAAACCCAGAGCATCCTGAGCTAATACGAGTCTCCCTTGTTCGCTTGTTAGGATATATATATATATATATATATATACACGGTGCACACAATCAGTCGACACCTCACACGCCCGTCACACGCACCGTCATTAGCTGCCTTGAGCCTGTCCATCTCCGTCAGTGGGGTGCTCAGCGGTGCCCCTACGCTGATGATCGGTTCCTTCTTCGCGTCGCCGTCAAGACTGACCGCCCGCCTGCCAATACCCGAACCACCAGGCCTCAAAGTACGAGGACTTTGGGATATCCGGTCCATCGGAGTTTTGGCTGCCTTATCGACCGGTTTCTTGGGTGACTGTGCTGCCGGTTGTGTGGCAGTGGAGTACGCTATACCGTCGTCCGTCTCAGATTCCTCGGCCTCCCGATCTTCGGGGATGGGAGTGGTGCTCCGCGCACTGGTACTGCCTACGAGTGCCCGGAAGTCAGCCGTCATGGGTGAACAAGGGAAACTCTGCGAGGCTAGGAGATGGAATAAATAGAGTAGAATGGAATGTTATGCAGTGTGATGGAATGCAATGGAATGTTATACAATGTGATGGAGTGGAATGGAATGGAATGGAATATAGTGTGATGGAATGCAATGGGTTGTTATGCTGTGTCATGGAATGCAATGGAATGGAATGGAATGGAATGGAATACAATGGAATGCAATGAAATGTTATGCAGTGTGATGGAGTGGAATGGTGTATTATGCAGTGTGAGGGAGTAGAATGGAATGTAATGCAGTGGGAGGGAGTAGAATGGAATGTTATGCAGTGTCATCAAATGCAATAGAATGTTGTGCAGTTTGATGGGTTGCAATGGAATGTTATACAGTATGATGGAATGCAATGGAATAAAATGCGGTGTGATGGGACGTGACGGTATGTAAAGGAATGTAAAGGAATCTCGTAGCGGGGTTTCTTGTGAGGTAGCTGGTGTTTACTTACGTGTGCCAGAGCGATATGCATGCAGAAGGAATGCCATGGGATGGGCACTGTGTACGAGTTGGGACACACTTGTGATATCAGAACAGAAGTGCGCATACCGATGTATACGGACGGTTGGGATTTAAAGCTCGTGTATGCAACTAAATGGATAAATTTGCTATGTACAATGCTCCCTATACATTCGATGTATTGGGTTACGTGGATACTGAAGAACATTTTGAAATGCCTACCAGCCAGCGCAGCACACATAGATGTGCTGAAAATTATATTCTATATATATATATGTGTGTGTGTGTGTGTGTGTGTGTGTGTGTGTGTGTGTTATGTGTGTG